GGAGGACCGGCCCGGACTCTTAGGTTAATAAGCTGCCTCCCATTGGAATGCCGATGGCCAATTATACAATATTAACTTATAATGTCAGGGGTCTTAATACCCCGAGCAAAAGACACCAATTGACGCACGAACTGCGGCGATTACGCAGCGACATTGTCTTTGTGCAGGAAGCGCACCTTACACACCACACTCATGTGCGTTTATCCTCGCCATATTACCCGACATGGTTTTACAGCACCTCGGACTCGAGTAGCTCTAGAGGGGTGGCGATCGGCATCCAAAGGAATGTTCAGTTTAAACTTGTGTCGACAAAAGTAGACCCCGACGGGAGATACCTCTTTGTTAAGGGAACGATAGACAACCACTTACTCACTTTGGCTTCTGTATACGCGCCCAATAAAGCTCTGACCATATTCCTTCGTAGAACACTACGCCTCCTACGGGAATATCGGGAGGGCATGGTGATTTACGCAGGAGACCTCAATATTCATATGGACCCCTCCTTGGACTCGTCTACAGGACGCTCCCACATAGCCTTTAAACGACTTAAATCTTTAAAGGCTATGTTACAGTCAATGCAACTGATTGATACCTGGAGAATACACCACCCTCGAGACAGGGACTACTCGGTATATTCAGCAGTCCATAACACGTATACACGGCTAGACTACATACTTATAGACCACTACCACCTAGGGACTGTTCAGGACGTAGATATCCTAACTGCAACCATCTCTGACCATGCTCCGGTGATGGCATCCTTGAGGCTCCCAGGGGATAAACGTACACCATTCATATGGAGATTAAACGAATCTCTCCTGCGGGACGATAAAATACTGATGACCCTTAAAAAAGATCTGACTTATTATTTCTCAGAAAATGCAGAGGGAGAGGAGTCGCCGGGTATTATATGGGAGGCCCACAAAGCCACAATTAGAGGATCCATTATTTCCCAGGGTGCCCATAAAAAGAAAGAACATACCCAGAATGTGATAAGACTCACAGCTAGAGTAACAGCGTTAGAGCAATTACATAAAAGGTCTTTATCCAATTCAGCTCTTAAAGAACTGACAAATTCAAGGGACGCTTTGAAAGAGGTGCTAACTTGTAAATATAATAAATCCTTAAACTATCTTTCCCAACGGTCCTACGAACTGGGTAACAAACCGGGGAAATCCCTCGCAAAGCTCTTGAAAGACAAACAATGTAGAAACTTTGTGGCCAAGATTAAAACTAAACAGGACGTAATGGTACATACATCAACTGCTATAGCCGATGTATTTAAGGAATATTATTCACTCTTATATAAGGTGAGACCCGAGAACAACACACAAACAAAAGAACAACATTTAAACTACATTCGGAATTACTTAGCTTCGATCCCTACCCCTACTATAGCTAAGGCCCAAGCGGAAATTCTGGAATCCACTATAAATCTAGAGGAAATCCAACAAGCTATAACTCCGCAGGCCGGCAAACGTCCGGACGGGAGTGAATCCTGCCCGCCTACACTTAATGCTGGAATTCAACTGTTAAAATGTACTTTGATGTCAAACGAATAGATGTTAAAGTTACCTTGTTTATTTTGAAATAATAAAAATTGAATTATTAAAAAAAAAAGAATTTAGGCCAGGCCACGTTCTTATGTTACTGCAGACCTCTGATATTGAATGGTGTGGTGTAGAAAGCAGCTTGGACACTGTAACTGATGGAGCTTACAGAACAATAGCTGTAGGAGTAACATAGGCTCAGTTCACAAAGCGTTACCACAAAGATAAGGATGTTTATTTTAAACAATGTGGCAGAATTTCAATAAATCTAATTTGACTCAGTTGACAATAACCGTCACTTTATAAAATAAAATCCTGATCCTGGTGTGTTACCTTTGTGAATGGAGCCTTATTTTTTTTTAAAGTTAAGTGACTCCAATAGGTTTAAAAAAATACCAGTCACATTGCTAAAAAAATAATGAGCCTTATATTCGTTTAAAGGTTTTATTCAGCCCATAGTCTCTCAAAGAAAACCTGTACATTGCCCATTATAGTCAAACTATTAAGTTCAAAGTACAGGACGAAATTAAAGGGACATTTTCACCTTGCCCATTTAGGACAACGTGACTGTGTCTTTGAAAAGGTTTTTCCCCCACTGCACCAGTTTTATTCACTTCACAAGTACCCTCTTGTTGCTCCTGCCTCCGTCACAGCAAGTGACGATAGCCGATGCCTCCATGTATGTGGTTGCATGTGAATCCTTTCCATGTGACAAGCATCCATTTTCATGGCTCAAGTACTTTTACATGACTAGAGGAGGGACATCATTGTTCCCCTTAATGTCCGACTCCATGGATTCCGGCTGCAGCGGAGGTTGGAGAGCCGGAAAGATGAATATAACTGGGACCCAGAAGGCAGTATCCTTACTTCCTTTCCACTACATCAATTTTCATCCAGGCCATCTTAGAAATACTTAGTAACTCCCCATCCCCAACTCCCCACAGTTCAGTGCTTAGTGATCAGTTGTTAGGTCTCTTTACTGTCACAGGTGAGTTGCAAAAAGAGTCTATAGTCCTGTTAATGTTTTTAATTCAATAGCTTTTTTTGTAAAGCAGCACAGAGATTTCATGGCTGATGCATTAGTATGTAGTGGTAAGGATGCTGATTTCAAATCAGCGATTTACTACAATTCTTTGAATATTTATTTCATAAAGAAAAGTGCACTTACTTGGCACTCTGCATGTAAATAATCACTTGCAGATGCTGCTCAATTATACAGCAGCAGACACTCATCCACCTGGCTACAGTCAGTTAATGTCATGACATTACTGGACCCCAACCACCCCGCCGCCCCCCATCAAAATTTAGGCTCACAAAATGATTGCCAGAATCTGCAATTGTGGGGCCATAGTCTGGCAGTTTACTTTAATCACAATTATCAACTTTACAATTAACAACTTAATAGGTCCCCTCCTGAGCCCCTTGTGAAGTTCAAGGTCTGTTGTCTTCTGTCCCATTAGATATGAAGAACCACACAAAGGGCTCAAGCCACAAAGCTTTACACAAGCCAAAAGTACTGCATTCAAACACATAACTCTAATTTTTGAATGTCATTGGACTTAGCTGAAAATAAGTTTCCTTTCCTGGTGTGTTTTTTTGTGACTTGAACCTAAAGCTTGTTCAGTAAGGCTTAAAGAACAGAATCTGAGGACCTCCCTGAAAGCGTTTAAAATGGCTCCTCCTCTGCTACCCCAAGAGCAAGGATCCATTCCTGAACATACTTATTGGCTCCACACATTCTGTGACCTAACTACTCTACACACCAACATCACCTCCAGCTTGAAGATTCTGAAGGCTAAAAAGATCTTCCACTCTTAAGGCGGTGGGTGCTGCAATCTGGTGGCAAAAATGTCGGGCCTGAGCCTGGGCTTAGCACCAGGAGAAAGAAGGAGTTTATGCAGACTTGAGCAAAAATCAAGGGGCTCCACAGGGGCAGGCACAGTTACATAGGTACTTGCTGGCACTCTTTTAGTATTGTTAGTTGAGATAGTATTCAAAATCTGAGAGATTTGATGAGGATTTACCAATTTCACAGCCTGATGTGACACCTTGGTTGGAATTGGACCATGTAGGTCTAACCTAAATGGTGATAACAGGGGTGTCCATCTGTCAAAAACACTTGTTATCACACACAGAGATTTTCCAGCTTATTGTAAAAAGTCTGTGACATGGTTCATTCTTTTCCAGTCTTTCTTTTTTCTCAGTAATATAGGAGGAACTTTGCCAGATATGTACTTTATGCCTTTATCTCATGGCCTATTGTTCCCAGTAAAACATCTGCCCATCTATGGCCACAGTTACATGTGTAGACCCATATTTCCAGTATCTACATAAACCTGCCAAAAAACATGTGATCCCATTTGTACCTTTATACAATGTCTCTATCTCTCTGAAAACAAAGTGATGTTTTATCACTGTCATTTCTATTGTCACACTTTGCCAGAAGTCATGAATGGAAGGAGATGTATGATAAAGTAAACCTGCATTGGAAACAACATAAGTAGCTCCAATTAAGGAATTACAAAACTCTTCTTTTTTCATGCTCCTTTATCCACTGAACACAGGCAAACAGTGGATGCATATCGCCTTGAAGTGTAAGTCACAGTTTTAGCACTTCCTTCCCATGACAAAATGTCATGTTAGCGCCTTACTAAAGCTCAGAGGTACATATATTACAGTGGAAGATATAGAGGAGGCTTGTCAGAGGTCCAGTTTGGACTCAGGGGCTCTTAGGAAAGGAGGTCTCTAAAGGTATTTAGCAAGTTATATCAATGTGCAGTGTGTTTTCCCATTGGCTTCACTTTGAAGAAGATCAGCAGTCTAATTTAGTTTTACAAAGGCAAACTGTCCCACTGCAAGTGTTTCGTTTTTATTCTGCTCTGAGTTCTTCTTTAATGATGTATTAATAAATATACAATAACGAAATAATAAAAAAAATGTAAGGATTTATTAACATGTTTGTAATCCATAACAATGAACATCTCTTAATTGCCTCCTTTTGGTGTGTTTTGTTATATCTATTCGATTAGTACAAAAAATAACTGTTGATAATGTCAGAGATTCATAGCTGTCCTGTACATGCTTCCTGTGTTACCTCAAGGAGCCTAATTATCCCTCCTAGTTCTTATCTTGAACTACAGACAAATTCCCTATGTTGGAGGGATTCAGCAGTTTAGCAAAAGACAGCTGGCCAGGATCTAAAGCACTCAGTCCACAAAAATGCTTCATTTGTCAACCCAACAACAGGACTGAAGAGCTATTTTTCTGTAATTTTAGGGGTTAAAACATGAGGAAATCTGCTTGTGTTGTAGAGGTGTGCTTCATATGTGACATACACTTTACTGAATACAAAGCTGGATTATTTTATATCTCCCTGAAATTCAGCTAAAAAATTATTATTAAGCTCTAATTGTAGTACCAACACTAACAGGATCTATTTTTTGTATTCAGGTCTGAAATCTGGATACTATACCATGCCTCGACTTTCCAGCTCAGAGGAACAGTCTGAGGATACCAGCTCTCAGAAACCAGATGATGACTGGGTCAGCTCTGAGCTACCTGATCGAGAGGATGTCAGTGTCTGCACTGTCCCTGTGGAGCTTTCTAGCAGTCTGTGGCACTGTGACTCCATGCAATCCTTGGTTATGGACTTTGGCCCTTCACTTACGGAGATCCTGGAAGGGATTAGCTTCTCCGGTACTCCCAAGAAAACTGAGGGTGCCAGTGGTTTCAGCGATCCATTCATACCAACAACAAATGATGACCCATTTCACCTTACCATAGCTACTAACATTGGCACAATGGAGGTAAACCAATCATATTGTGATATCCAGGTTCAAGAACCTGAAGGTCTTGCATGTTGGGAGCCAGCAACCATAGCTGAGGATATGGAGATGGATACAGACAGTGGAATCACTGGATCAGAACAGGGAAGCAGGGGAGTTACTGCTGATCTATGGGACTCTGGTGATGGAGATGGTTCTGAAATAGAAATGTAGACATTCTTGAAAATACAGAACCTTTCTGGAAGAAAAGGATTGATCTATAAATTGTATTTTTCCATATAAGATGATTATGAGCATGGACTCTCTCTTTGCAATGTAAAGTGTATTCTTATAGATATGACTGCTGTCCTGATCTTCTTTTCTTCACTCCACTGTAACCACATATGTTTATATTGGATAGGTTTGAAGCATTCCTGGAATACTAGGCTTCCGTGTTCATCATCATGCAGCGCATCTCTCTTACAATAGTCTGAGCAATGGAATTTGGAGACACACAATATTTAATGCACTGCCTTCATTTGCCTCAGAGGAAAGTTCCATATTAATCCTATTTTCTTCATCCTGTACAGTCCACAAGTATTAAGATTCTGGTGCAAACAATCCTCTAGTTTTACTTCTATGACGTGTTCAGGCAATGTTTTCTCTGAAATGTTCACATCTAGACATTTTCAAATCTGTGACTAAATCCAAAAAAGAATGCATTGCTTCCACAACTGTCAATTGTACTTAGTAACAGAGAAAAGCTATGCAACACTCGAGAATGGAAGGGGTGGGAGTAGAAATGATTTATAGATTACAAAGGAAACCACTTGTGGAAAATCATGCCTTCGGTTGACAAATAATGACAGGATTACTTAACACAATGAGCCTTTTCACAGGGTCAGAAAGGTAACAATGTAGAAATGTAAAGATGAAAGAAAGAGGAGAAAAAATTATATTGTAAAATGCTATATTGTGCTTATGGTGCATTTACTATTGGAATTTTCCCAAAGGCTAAAGAACAAGAAGTTGTCCTGAAGCCCTGTATCACCTATTAGAGCTGGTAATGTACTGTACTGTGTTTTTTTTCACATAGTGAGGCCTTCTCCTTCATATGATAAGATGGAAGGACATAATAAGTGGCAACTAAATACTGTTTTTTAAATTTCTCCAGTATTAGGAAAATCTGTAGGTCTTCTGAACTCTCGTCAGGAATGATTAGACCCTAAAATGATTGGCTTTTCATCCCCGGTCATATCTACTTGAAGGTGAATTTACTTGAAGGGGCAGCACTAGTG